ACAGTTAGTGCTCTTAACTAGAGCCATCTTTCCAGTCACACTGATTGAGATATGATTATAAATAGCCATTACTTCATTTTAAGCTTTCGAGTTATCAAAAGGATTTTTTGAAACTGATTTTTAAAGAGATACAGTTTATAAAACATTGAAATTTTGAAATTTATGTTCTGGTAAAACAGAGGCAGGCATGGACAGCCCTTTTATGGAGGATCTGTTGAACTTGTCCATATTGAGTTTCATGGTTTAAGTCGATGAGGATGACTGACCAGGTCTCTTCAACATAATTATTCTAAATTCTTGGTCTGCCATTGAAAACTAATGCTACAGTCAGCCTTTGTCGGAGACACCTATTGCAACAGGAGACAGAGAGATAATGCAGAAACATACAACTGGCCCAAGTGTCAAGCATAGGTGATGGAGTGCCCCACCCTACGGGGACATCTCCATCCCTGGGGAAAAGCCAGGGAACAGCACAGGAGGGTGAGGCAAGGCGCTAAGAGCCGGAGGATGAGGGGGGCGTACAGCACAAAGATGTCCCCTGGTTCACATGGCTGCTGCACTCCTGCACACACTGCCACTGTGGTTATCTGCATGACACCTCTCTGACTTAACCTATCGTCAGGGGTGGCAGAGGAACCCACGAGGTCCCACCGCTCCCTGGGCTGACACTGGCAGTTCATGGTTGCTGGAGGTAGGGGATGTCATTTCTTCACAAGGGTAGCCACTGATACATTGCCTATGGTCCTGAATAACCTCCTACCCACACTCATACAAGAAATTCCAATTAAACTAAATGGGACACACAGAAAGGAGACGTGAAAGCAGGAGAGGGGCTTGCTGGGAAGAAGAAGGGTTTTAACAGGAAGCAGAGGATGGAAGGGTCTTGCGGGACACAAATTATATACTATTAAGCTTCAAATCTGAGGTGTCTACTTAAAATATCAATACAGACCTAGTTGTCAAGTTCTCCCAATATCCCTCAATGCCGAGCTGCTACAGGGGATGGATCGCAGCATACCCCGACTACCCTGGACTCTCAGGCCAGGGTCTGGGCTGCCCTTCCCCCAGAGGCTCTTTCCTATATGATCCAGACATTTGGGTTACCTGGTTACTGCACCTGGTTCCTCTCTCCCTTCTGCCTTGCCTTTCCCCACTCCCCATACAGCCAAGTCAGCCCCGTGATGTCCACTCTGAACTCTCCCAGATGTCCCTGCCTCTGACTATGCTCTTCCACATGTCTATGGTAGATTTTCTCCTCCACCATCTCTAGGAGCAGTCATGCCCTCTTTTTTCCTTTTTCATTCATATACATTAAAGAAACTATCAAGAAATTAAAATGCATAATTGTTGTCAACAGGGTACATAATGTTTAAGCCATTCACAGTCACCAGCTTTACTTAAAAAAATTAAGTTTGACAATAGCTAGGTCATAGTCATATGGTTATTCTTTTTTATTTTTTTTTATTTTTATGGTTTATTTAACTTTATTTTATGTGCATCGGTGTGAAGGTGTCAGATCCCCTGCAACTGGATCTTCAGACAGTTGTGAGCTGCCATGTGGGTCCTGGGAATTGAACCCGGGTCCTCTGGAAGAGCAGTCAGTGCTCTTAACCACTGAGCCATCTCTCCAGTCCCCTCATATGGTTATTCTAAAGATATATATTGGCCATTTGTATTTCTTCTGAGAACTTTCTACTCAATTCTTTGACCCTTTTAGTTTTTCCTTTTTTGAATTCTTTGTACATTCTAGATATTCTCTGTCATATATATTCTGTAAGCTTCTTCACTCAATTATTTTTCTTCTTTTTAATCTCATGAGGTTCCATTTGTTGACTATTGACCTTATTTTCTGAGCACGAGAGTCCTTGTAGAATGTCCTTGGCTATATCTTTATCTTCAAATGCTTTACCTGCTTCTTTGTCTAGCAATGTCACAGCAACAGGTGTTACATTATCAACTTCAAAACACTGCGAGTTACTTTTTGTGCAGTGAGAGAGATTCGGATCTAGTTTCAGTCTTGAGCATGTAGACACCCACTTTCCCCAGCATCCTTTGCTAAAGAGGCAATCTTTTCTCCAACAACTATGTTTGGTATCACAGTAAAAGGAACCAGACAGCTTTAATTGGATGGGTTTGTGACTGCATCTTCTACACTATTGATCTACATGTCTGTTTTGTGCCAGAACCATACTGTACTTATATTTATGGTTCTGTATGATAACTTGAAGTTACATCGTATATGATGATTCTTCCAGTCTTTGCTGACTATTCCTTTGCCCCAGGCTGATTTATCTATCTGAAGATTTTTAGTTTGCAAATGAGTTTTAAGATTTTCTTCTTTTTTTTTTTTAAAAAAAAATGATGAATGGCAGTGGAATTTTGATGAGGATTATATTGTATCTGTAGATTAGCTTCTGGTAAAATAACTATGTAATCATTTTCACAACAGTGAATCTTCTAATCCATGAGAGAAGTCTTTCCATCTTCCAGTGACTTCCTCAATTTCTTTCTCCATTGTAGAGGTCTTTCATTTCCTTCGTTAGAAGGTGTGGTAATTGGCCCCCATAAGCTCATAGGGAGTTGCAGTATTAGGTTTTGTTAGAGTAGGTGTGGCCTTGTTGGAGGAAGTGTGCCACTGTGAGAATGGGCTTTGAGGTTTCCTATGCTCAAGCTATGCCCAAGGACACAGACTACTTCCTGATGCCTACAGGTCAAAATGTAGGACGCTCTGCTCCTTTTCCAGTACCATGTCTCCCTTCATGCCATCATGCTGCACCATGATGATAATGAACTAAACCTGTGAAAATGCAAGACACCCCAATTAAATGTTTTTCTTTATAAGAGTTGCAGTGGTCGTGGTGTCTCTTCACAGCAACAGAAGCCCTAACTAAGACAGAAGGTATGTTTTTAATGACAATTATGAGATTTTATTCCTGATTTCTTGCTTGGCATGTTTGTCATTGGTATACAGTACAGTCACTGTTTTTGTGTGCTGATTTTGCATCCTGCCACTTTGCTGAAAGTGTTTAATCAGCCTAAGATTTTTCTGGTGGAGTCTTTAGGGTCTCTTTTGTATAAAATCATAACCTATAAATAAGGATACTTTAGTGTCTTTTTCTTGTTTGTATTTGTTTCATTCCCTTACTTTGTCTTACTGATGTGGTTAAGACTTCCAATAGGATATTGAACATGAATGGAGAAATATGACACTCATCTTCTTAGTGTGACTGGAAATATTTGATTTTCCAACTCATTTAGTATAATGTGAGCTATAAGTTTGCCACACATAATCTTTATTATGTTGAGGTATGTTCCTTCTATTCCCACTTTCTTCAGGTGTTGGTCTATTGGATTTTGTCAAAAGCTCTCTTTGCACCTACTGAGATGATCTTCTGGATTTTGTTCTTCAGTCCATTTATATGACATTTTACATTTATTGCATGTTTATTTATGTATGCTGAACCATTCCCGTATCTCTGGAACGAAGCCAACCTGATCATAGTGAACCATCTTTCTGATGAATTCTTGAATTTGGGTTGCAAGTTGGTGGTTTGTTGTGGGATATTTTGATTGTACTCTGACACTCTCGAGACTGCCAATAAAGTTTACCTTGAATCAGAGGGTAGAGTTAGCTACTAGCTGATCAGAATTAGCCACACAGGTCCTTTTGGACCCAGGACATATAGAGAGATACACAGGGAACAGCAGGGAGAGGCTTAGAAAGATTCATGGCACTTTTTGAGTGAGGAGGGCGAGAGAGAGGAGGTCACTGTTGCTTCTCCGATCAATCAGGTTTTTATCCTGATATCTGACTCCCAAGTTTTATTTAATAATAGAACAATATGAGTAATTGCTTCAGTGATACTGTTGAGAAAATAACAAACAGCTTAATGAAATAAGAAAGCTGATGCAAAACAAGAAAAGGGAATTTTAAAAAGATACAGAAATACTGAAGAAAAATAATTGAAAAGTTGAAAGTAAAAACTATAATAATTCACATAAAGAGCTCTGTGGAAAGTCTCAACAGCAGAATGGACCAAGGAGAAGGTAAAGATCAAGATCTGAGCTGGAAGATAAGGCCCAGAAACTGGAACCATCAAACAACAACAAAGACAAAACTAGGAGCCGATAACACTGAGAATTCCAAGACTCATGTGACACTCGTGAAAAGACCAGACCTGTGGGTAATAAGCACAAAAGAGGAATCTCGTTCTAAAGGCATAGAGAACATTAAAGAAAAAAATAACAATTTTCTAAAGCTTATACAGATTGTACCAGTTGGCGGGACATCTTCTTGATTAATGAATGGTGTTGGAGGGCCCAGCCCACTATGGGTGGGGCGACTCTTGGCCAAAGAATCCTTGAACAAAAAGCAAGAAGAATGGGCCAGTAAGCAGCAGCCCTCCAATGAACGGTCTCCGCCTCAGCTCCTGCCTCTAGGATCCTGCTTCAGTCCCAGCCCTGATGCCCTCAGGCTGTGACATGTGAGGGAAAGTAAGCCCTTTCCTGCCAAGTTGCTTTTGGTCAGAGTTTTATCACAGTAACAGAAAGCAATGTAGGACAGACACCAAAGGCTGCTCTAAATAAATGGACCGGAGACACAGGCAAGTGCCAGCGTTCGAATATCCGAGAAAATTGGCTTCAGACCAAAACTAGTGATGAAAGGTACAGAAGGTCACTTTGTGCTGTTCAATAGAACAACATCAAGAGGACATTATGCTAACACACGGGTGGCCGATTTCATAAAACACACACACCATCTACACTCTAGCTGGGCTGTACAGCACCCAACTACAACCATAAACATGAATGAGTAAAAGAAAAACAGAACAAATGAATGAAAGATCATCAAAAGATAAGCATTTGGCTGCAAGTGGTGGTGCATGCCTTTAATTTCAGTACTTGGAAGGCAGAGGCAGGAGGCTACTACCTATGAGTATAAGGTCAGCTTGATCAAAAAATAGAAGTATTTTGCTTCCAAAACAAGTGATTCTACTATATTAAGGGGGGAAATGATAACATAAGTTTATTTCCACATAAGAACACAAAGAATATTCCAAATAATCACATAATTTCAAGAAAGATTTTTTGTTAAAATATTTTTGTAAAAAGTAACCTCAATGCTTAAATTCCGGAAACGTTACTTTGTACATTAATATTACCTTAAACTGAAAAATTCTAAAACATCCATACCTTCTATGTCTCATTTACATGGCTGAAAAATCTTTCTCAATATCTTTCATGATAATGCTGCTATTGATAACTTTACTCTGCAGAATCTCACTTTGGTGATTTTTATACTTTTACCGACCAGAAACATATATATACATACACAGACCACACACACTCTCTTTTCTAATGGCTTGTACTGGAGACCAGGGAGTTACATTTGGTCAGACCCAGATTGAACAGAGTGGAATTTAGGTTAATACAGAGAAAGGCGTGCTCGGGATGCGTCGTCCTTTGGATTTCCTGAAGCATCAGGTGAATGGTAAAAACTTCAAAGAGCTTCTTATTACTCCTGAAAAAGAACAGTTTTATTACTTAGTTATTTATAAAGTCAAGAGAACTTATATAAATGTGGGGAGACAGCACTTGCTTTTAAAAACAATGGAGAAAATGGCCGATTACTGGACTTAGATGATAAGAAAAGCCCAAAGCAGAAAAACATTACAGGCCAGGAGAAAAGAGTTTATATCTTGAAACTGAACCTACTGACGAACAAGGAACCTCCCTCTCCATAGGTAGACAGAACCGGTTTTCCTAAGGAGCTAAAGTGGTAAATGCTACTCTCCAACAACTCCCTCTCTAACTGACATTCAAGCTCAGTGTGCCGCACACCTGTAATCCCTGTACTCGGAGGCAGAGGTGGGCAGATCTGAGCTCCAGGACAGCCAGAGCTACATAAGAAGAGCCTCTCTCACAAAGTAAGAGGACGAAGAGAAGGCACTCAGTAATTTCACGTCAATCATAATCCTATCTTAAATGTAAGATAGGAGTCCACCTATTTTATTTTCTCATCCGGGTATATTTGCCTCAAGAGAAATGATCAGATAGCCCAGCCTCGAAGGAGGTAGAAGACAAGGGGTTTCCTGGGACTTGCTGGCCATGCAGCCTAGCCAATCAGCAAGCTCCAGGTTCAGTGAGAGACCCTGTCACACACACAAAAAAAAACAAAACACAAAAACAGAGGAAAATACCTAATACCAACCTTGGGCGAGCACACGTGCACACACACTCATTCTTTTGATTGTTTTGCCAAAGGTATACTTCAGTGTGTTAATAAGGAATTACAAAATGCACTTTTATTATCACCTTTTTTCACCTGTCCTATATAAAACATCAGTGTGTAGTGATTTGTTCTGATATTATCACTTGATTCATAAACTTGTTCTTAGTGGAAGAACATTTGCCTGCCATACAGTTACACCTGGGTTCAGAACCATAAAAACCCAAATCGACCCCCAATATACAATAACCACCCCCTCCTGAAGGCTCAAATAATACCTTATTCTTGGATTCACATGCTATCTCTGGAATTTAAAGTTTTCTTAGATGAACTAAAACAACTGAGAAACAACTATATTTTCAAAGATTATATTAAATCTGTGTGTGTGCGTGCGTGCGTGCGTGTGTGCGTGCGTGCGTGCGTGTGTTGTACAGTACGGGCATGTGTGAGTGGGTCTGGGTCTGGAGGATGTCCGGCACCCTATCTATTATTCTCTGACTTATTCATGTTAAACAAGGTCACTTACTGAACCTGGAGTTATGCTGGTGGCCAACAAGTCCCAGTGATCCTCCTGCCTCCATCCCCCACGGTGCCAGGCTCACAGGTGCACGCAGTCACACTAGCTTTTTATGTGAGTACTGGGGATTTGAACTCAGGTCCTCATGCTTATGCAATAACTCCTCTTACCCGGTAAGCACTGGCCCAGCCCCAGTATTTTGTCTCTGATAATCATTAATACTACGATTCTTGAATTTCTACATTGGTAGACTAAAAATAATAAATTAAAACAAAGCAATAATCAAGTTGAACTGGTTTGAGATTGAGATTGAAAAAACAATCCTAACAGTGATTATAATATAATTATCAATTAAAAACATTACAAAAGATATTCTTACTTGATTTTTGAAAGCTTCTGTAGGATAATACTGAGCTTTTCCAGGATGTGGAGATCAAGCTTAGGGGTTCGGAGCAGCACAGAACAAGTACGGAAAAACAAGGAGTTGCTACAGGCTTCCAGGAAGGGCTGCAAGGCCTCTGTAAAACAAGCCACCAGGCTGTACTGTTAGGAAGCATAAAGGAAAGTTTTACAAAAGCAAAACCAGAACTATGTGAGAAGTGGATCAATGCCAACTTGGACTCTCACTCTTTCATCCTTAAACTTTAAGGCAAATCATCATTTGAAATGTGAAAGCATCCATTGGCTCTTGGGTGTCATACGGAGCGGGTTACTATCTAACACAAAGCACATCTGAAAGAAGAGCGAACAGTGTTTCTTCAATAAGCGTCTGACTGGAAGCACAGTCTAGGTGACTGAAAATAAGAAGTTCCACTGAAGCAGTCAATTATTTTCTTTAAAACCCCCAATAACAATTCTGAGTACTAGATAGGAAAGAACCCTTGAGCATAAAGGCTAAAGAGAGACAGGTTCACGACGGGTTGAAAACCTACGGATAAAAACGTTAAGGGATCATCGTGGAAAAGCAGGCAGAAAGGCTGTAAGGACCAGAGTACCAGGAGTTGGCTGAGAGACCGTGGTTCCTGGGCTTTCAGCATCTGAAGTCTCAGCGACATGACTGCCTCAGCATGGGCTGAACACGGACAACACGGACAACACGGACATACTAATGCGGAAGCGGGGAGGGGCCATGAGGATTCTGCCGTAGCTAAGAGTGCGGGGAAACAGCCTTCTCCAGGGGAGAGCACAGCAACTGGTAATTCATTACCAAATGGTCAGCCCTGAGGACATATGCATACATGTAACATTATACAGACTGAGCAGGTTGTATCCATGCATTTAGGTGTATGTGTGTGTTTATTTACATACATGTGTATATAACAACAATTAATAAAACTGGCACTGGATTTGAAAGAGAACAAGGAAGGGGACATAGGAGGGTTTGGAAGGAGAAAAGAGAAGGGGGCACGATGTAAATAGAATCAAATAATAATTTTTTTAATTTAAGTGTTCATATAGAATTATTTTATTTGAAAAATTAAAAGTTGAAAAAAGTAAAAAACTAAAAGTTGAAATTGAAAAAATTAAAATACTCAAAAAAGAAATTACAAACTTAGAAGAGAGAAAAGGAGAGATGGCTTTGCATACACTTGCCTTAAGACTGACACCACAGGTGGACGGTGGTGGCGCACCTTTAATCCCAGGACTAGGGCAGCAGAGACCAGCGGAGTTCGAGGTCAGCCTGGTCTACAGAGCGAGTTCAAGGACAGGCTTCAAAGCTACACAGAGAAACCCCGTCTCGAAAAACAAAAACAAAACAAAACAAAACAAAAAAGACTGAGTTCTTGGTTCCGATAGCCAGCCTGCAGCAGCTAAGACCGCAGGCAGGGACTCTTCTGACCAGCGAGGGGCTCTGAACCTGCGCAGGGGTAAGTGTGTGGACCGGTGAGGGGACACACAATATTCCCACCATCCTTATCTCCCTGGCTACTCCAAAGGGGCAGCTTCCCCCAGCTAATCCCTCTCTCCTGCTATGCCACCCCAGCTTTTGGTCTCGAACCCCTCCCCTCCCCTCTCCCTTTTTCCGGGCTTAAATTCCTCCATCTCAGCCAGGGTGGGCACCACGGGTCTGGATAGGTGGTGAGTGCAAAGGGAAGGAAGTCCCTTTGTTCTAAAGCCTGCCTGCAGCTAGCTAAGACTGCAGGCAAAGTGATTCCTGGATAGCAAGGGTCACTAATCCAGTAGAAGAAGACCCAGCGGAGGGAAGAGCCATTGGAGAGCATCTGAAGGAAGAGATGGGCAGGCGCCAAGGCAAGAATTCCTCCAACAATCTGAAAAACAACATGAAATCACCAGATTCCAGCGATCTTACGACAGAAGGACTCGAACGCCCTATTCCGGAAGAAGTGGAAAACAGTGTCATTATGAAAGCAATAGAGTCTCTAAAACAGGGTATGAATAACTCACTTAAAGAAATAGAAGAGAAATATAACAAAAAAATGGAAGAAATGAGTAAAGAAATGGAAGACAAATATAACAAAAAGTTTGAAGAAATGAGTAAATTCGTAAATGATACCCTGGGAAACCAAGAAAAAGCAATCAAACAGGTAATGGAATCAGTGCAAGAATTGAAAACTGAAATGGAGGCAGTGAAGAAAACACAAACCGAGGGCCGGCTGGATATGGAAAATCTAGGTAAACGAACGGAGACTACAGAATCAAGCTTAACCAATAGAATACAAGAGATAGAAGAACGAATCTCAGATTATGAAGACACCATAGAGAAAATAAACGCCCTGACCAAAGAAAACAGCAAATCCAACAAATTCTCATCACAAAACATTCAGGAAATATGGGACATAATAAAAAAACCAAATCTAAGAATAATAGGAGTAGAAGAAGGAGAAGAATTGCAGATCAAAGGTCCAGAAGATATATTCAACAAAATTATAGAAGAAAACTTTCCCAACCTAAAGAGGGATATTCCTATGAAGGTGCAAGAAGCATACAGAACACCAAATAGACTGGATCAGAAAAAAACGTCCCCTCGCCATATAATAATCAAAACACAAAGCAGTCAGATTAAAGAAAGGATATTAAGAGCTGCAAAGGAAAAAGGTCAAGTAACCTATAAAGGTAAACCTATCAGACTTACACCAGACTTCTCTATAGAAACCATGAAAGCCAGAAGGTCCTGGATAGAGGTACTGCAGAAATTAAGAGACCATGGATGCAAGCCCAGACTACTTTACCCAGCCAAGCTTTCGTTCACTATCAACGGAGAAAACAAAATATTCCAGGATAAAAACAAATTTAAACAATATGTAACTACTAATCCAGCCTTACAGAGAATACTAGAAGGAAAATTACATCCCAAGGAATCCAACACTGCCAACACTGACTACAATAATTCAGACATCTAGCGACCCTTCACTAGCACAATTCAAAGAAGGAAAACACATACACTCTATTACCACCAAAAAAATGACTGGAGTCAACAACCAATGGTCATTAATATCTCTTAATATCAATGGACTCAATTCACCTATAAAGAGGCACAGACTTAGAGATTGGATACGAAAACAGGATCCAACATTCTGCTGTTTACAAGAAACACACCTCAACCGCAAAGACAGCCACCTACTCAGAGTAAAGGGTTGGGAAAAGGTCTTCCAAGCAAATAGACCTAAGAAACAAGCGGGTGTGGCCATTCTAATATCTAACAAAATCGACTTCAAACTAAAATCAATCAGAAGAGATGGAGATGGACATTTCATACTCATAACAGGAACAACTCATCAGGAAGAAGTCTCAATCCTGAATATCTATGCCCCTAATGTAAAGGCACCCACATATGTAAAAGAAACTCTTCTAGAACTCAAGGCAGTCATCAAACCACACACGCTAATAGTAGGAGACTTCAACACTCCTCTCTCACCGATGGACAGGTCAATCAGACAGAAACCAAACAGAGAATTAAGAGATTTATTGGAGGTATTGAATCAAATGGACTTAACAGACATCTATAGAACACTCCACCCAAATAGGAAAGAATATACCTTCTTCTCTGCAGTTCATGGAACCTTCTCGAAGATTGACCACATACTCGGCAACAAAGCAAACTCCCACAGATACAAAAAAATATTAGTAACCACCTGTGTCTTGTCAGATCACCATGGATTAAAATTAGAATTCAACAACAATGCTACCCCCAGGAAGTCAACAAACTCATGGAAGTTGAATAGTCAACTACTAAATCACCCCTGGGTCAAGGACGAAATTAAGAAAGAAATTAAAGTCTTCCTTGAATTTAATGAAAACAAAGACACAACATACTCAAACCTATGGGACACTATGAAAGCAGTGCTAAGAGGAAAGTTCACAGCACTAAGTGCCCACCTAAAGAAAACGGAGAAAGCACACATTGGAGACCTAACAGCACACTTGAAAGCTCTAGAAAAAAAAGAAGCTGATTCACCCAGGAGGAGTAGAAGACTGGAAATAATCAAACTGAGGGCTGAAATCAACAAAATAGAAACAGAGAAAACAATCCAAAGAATCAATGAATGAAAAAGCTGGTTCTTGGAGAAAATCAACAAGATTGACAAACCCCTATCCAAACTAATCAAACGGCAGAGAGAGCACATGCAAATTAATAGGATCAGAAATGAAAAGGGGGATATAACCACAGACTCAGAGGAAATTCAGAGAATCATTAGATCTTACTACGAAAGTTTATATGCCACAAAGTTGGAAAATGTAAAAGAAATGGACACTTTTTTAGATAAGTACCATATACCAAAGTTGAACCAAGAACAGGTGAATAATCTAAATAGACCTGTTAGTCGTGAAGAACTAGAAGCTGTTATCAGAAATCTCCCTACCAAAAAAAGTCCAGGACCAGATGGTCTCAATGCAGAATTCTACCAGAATTTCCAGGAAGAGCTAATTCCTATACTCCTTAATGTATTCCATAATATAGAAACAGAAGAGTCATTGCCAAACTCCTTTTATGAAGCTACAGTTACCTTAATACCAAAACCACACAAAGACACAACCAAGAAAGAGAATTACAGGCCAATCTCACTCATGAACATCGACGCGAAAATTCTCAATAAAATCCTGGCAAACCGAATCCAGGAACACATTAGAAAAATTATCCATTATGATCAAGTAGGCTTCATCCCAGAGATGCAGGGCTGGTTCAATATACGCAAATCTATCAATGTAATCCATCATATAAATAAACTGAAAGAAAAAAATCATATGATCATTTCATTGGATGCTGAAAAAGCATTTGACAAAATTCAACACCCATTTATGATAAAGGTGTTGGAGAGACTGGGGATACAAGGATCATACCTAAATATAATAAAAGCAATATACAGCAAGCCGACAGCTAACATCAAATTGAATGGAGAGAAACTCAAAGCCTTTCCACTAAAATCAGGAACACGACAAGGCTGTCCACTCTCTCCATACCTCTTCAATATAGTGCTTGAAGTTCTAGCAATAGCAATAAGACAACATAAGGAGATCAAGGGGACTCGAATTGGAAAGGATGAAGTTAAACTTTCGT